CGTGGCGGGTAAAGCTAATGATTTATAACAGTAGGAAAATGACTGTTATGAAGTCGCAACGAAAACAATGTGATGGTTGGGGGTCACCACAACATGGGGGACTGTACTCAGGGGTCACGGCATTAGGAAGGTGGAGAAACACTGTTCAACAGCATTAAGCCCCATTGGGAAGGAGCACCAACCAGCTCTCCACAATGGCTTGTACTTCTCTGACAAAAACCACTTAAAGATATCTACATGAATATTAAAACACATCTTTCCACAGCACATGGTTCATTACTGCATAATTATTAACTCTGGTGAGACAAAAATACCCTGTTCCTGCAACGGACAAGATCATTAAAGTATTTCAAAGCTCCGTCATTCAAGACAGAGGCAATTAATACGGCACTATCTTCCAAGGCAAACGTGCTCAGGGCTGGACATCGTATACGTAAAAATAACATCTGCTGACACACAATTTTCTCTTTTCCACGCTGCTGCGATGCAATGGCAGGCTTACGAAATATGCCACTTTGTCTCCATGGGAATGCAATACAATTTTTGACCCTGCATCAAAATCCAGCCAAATTATCTACTTACAAGCAAAGCAAGGCGCTGGCTGCTGGAGCAGATGAACAACTGCACTGCATCCTGTCAGATCCCCAAAATCTGGAGGAAAGCAAGAGTCATCGCCATCCTGAAGCCAGGCAAAGACCGTAATGACCCAAAAAGCTACAGACCCATCTCCCTGTTGTGCCACCTCGACAAAGTTCTGGAGAGACTTAGTTTGCATAGAATTATGGAAAAAATAGACCCCTGTCTGATCCCACAACAAGCTGGCTTCAGGAAAGGCACAAGCTGCACATCGCAAGTGCTGAACCAGACTCAGCACATGGCTTTGAAAGGCCGCAGATCACAGGAGCTGTCTGTAAGACTGTAGGTTTTATATAGCAATATTAAATGATCACTCACAAGCCGGTTGTGCTTGGAAATGAATATATTGCTTGTATCTCTGCAGCAAAGAAAGACACTACTGACTTTTTCCCACCACCACTCCCTTTTATACACCTTTCCTGCCCATCTCCCCCCTCTTCTCAGTTTCCTCATTACAACTTGTTGCTTCACAAGTTCCAATACAAGGTTTCCAGCGCCCTCTGCCGGCTTCGAAATGTCACAGAGAGAAAACTGAGGCAGCCAGGATGATTCAGTCAGGATGTCACGGAGGGAATTTGTGATGTCTTCATACCGTCAGAAATTGATTCCTGACACTGTCATCATAGACCTGTCCGCAGTTTATGGTACTGTGAACCACCGCTGCCTCCTCCTGAGAAAAATGTATAATATCCCAAAGGACGACCACCTCACCCGCCTCATAGGAAACCTGCTACAAAACAGGAGCTTTTTTGTTGAGTTCCAGGGCCAGAGAAGCAGATGGCGGAAACAGAAGAACGGCCTGCCTCAGGGGAGCGTGCTTGCTCCATCCATGTTCAACATCTACACAAATGACCAGCCACTGCCAGAAGGGACAGAGTGAGTTTCATCTATGCTGATGATCGTGCCATCACCGCTCAAGCAGGGAGCTTTGAGATGGTAGAACAGAAGCTCTCCAAAGCTCTAGGCAGTGGTTTTCAACCTGGGGTCCCCTGATGTTTTTGGCCTAAAACTCCCAGAAATCCTAACAGCTGGTACACTAGCTGGGATTTCTGGGAGTTGTAGGCCAAAAACATCTGGGGACCCCAGGTTGAGAACCACTGCTCTAGGTGCTCTTACTGCCTATTACAGGGAAAACCAGCTGATCCCTAATCCATCTAAAACACAGACATGTGCTTTTCACCTTAAGAACAGACAAGCATCCCGAGCTCTGAGGATTACCTGGGAAGGAATCCCACTGGAGCATTGCAGCACCCAAATACCTGGGAGTCACTCTGGACCGTGCTCTGACCTACAAGAAGCACTGCCTGAACATCAAGCAAAAAGTGGGCGCTAGAAACAATATCATACGAAAGCTGACTGGCACAACCTGGGGATCACAACCAGACACAGTGAAGACATCTGCCCTTGCGCTATGCTACTCTGCTGGTACATTGCTGTTAATTGTATATTTATGTTTTGATGTGGGCGCCATGGGGTGCCACTTTGTTAGCCGTCCTGAGTCCCTGCGGAGGTTGAAAAAAGACAGGATATAAGACTTAAATCTAGAAATAGTTTTCTAAGATCTACAGAGACACTCGCTTGAACACCTCAGCAAGCGAGAGTCCAAAAGTGGCAGGCTCAAACCCAGAACCTCAACTGATACCAAATGAGAGACTCCCTCCTGGGCACACAGAAAACTGGGCGACTTGGAAAGCGCTGAACAGACTGCGCTCTGGCACCACGAGATGCAGAGCCAACCTTCAGAAATGGGGCTACAAAGTGGAATCCGACATGCGAGTGTGGAGAAGAGCAAACCACTGACCACCTGCTGCAATGCAACCTGAGCCCTGCCACATGCACAAGGGAGGACCTCCTTGCGGCAACACCAGAGGCACTCCAAGTGGCCAGATAGTGGTCAAAGGACATTTAATCAACTACCAAACTTGCAAAATTTGTGTTTTTTTGTCTGTTTGTCTGTTTGTTCTGTTAGAAATGTAATACAATGGTCTGGTTGCCCCTGAAACGATTTCCTTTGAATGCATTTTACATTCGAAACTGAACGCCAATGGAGAACCTGACCCACGGACAGTCCACTCACCTATCAGGCCGGAGTTCACAAACGGCGTCGGGGACAATCCGTCACTGGGCCCTAATCGACTGTCGCTCAAATGGTCGTTGTAATGACTGTCTGTGAAGCCCTACAAGAGAAGAGAAGAGCATTTAACCGATTAATGGGCAGCCCAACCAAGTCTCAGAGACAAGTTCCCAGTCGGAGGGAGAGGCACTATGGGTCACTCTGTGTCCATGGGTAGGGTATTCCACGCAAAAGGAAACGGTTAGGACAGCACCATTAGCAGCATGAATATCCAAAATTCCACCTGCCATGAAAGTAGGAAATACAGGCAATCCAGAAGTTATAAACATACAACTTCCAAGCAACTCCTAGTTAAGAACAATGGGTCTGAGACAGCAGGAAGTGAGAGAAATCTTCCCCTTGGAAGGAAGAGAAATCCACTCCTGGAAGAGTTGTCATTATTCCTGGGGAAAAGGCATCTCCACTGAAGTTTTCTCTCCAATCCTTCTTTCCACAACAAGCCACATTTCCCAAAATCCCATTCTCACGCAGACAGAAAGTGGGGGGAAATCTTTATGAATAGGGGCACAGGCAGCAAAGGAGAAGATAGATAGATAAATGCTCTGTGCGTTATGAGTACTTTAAAAACAAAAAAAACCTACGAGGCCAAACTACGGGGCTCAACAGAAGTTGAGGAAGCAAGAAGCCATTTTGTTCCTTTCTGCTTCAGGTAAGCCTCGTCTTAGAGGGCACTAGGAATCTGAGTGAGTGTTTAAAATTAGCTGCTTTGTTTGAGAGGCTCATTGTTCTCAGAGTGAGTCAGAGTGGGTTGTTGCTGCTGCCTGTTTACCCTATATAAGCCAGGGCCTGAACTAAAGTGGCAGTTGTGCTCCCACAGATGTTGAGGAACCAAGAAGCCATTTTGTTCCTTTCTACTTCAGGTAAGCCTTGTCTTAGAAGGCACTAGGAATCTGAGTGAGTGTTTAAAATTAGCTGCTGAGTGCTTTGTTTGGAAGGCGGGACGAGGCTCATTGTTCTCAGAGTGAGTCAGAGTGAGTTGTTGCTGCTGCCTGTTTACCCTATATAAGCCAGGGCCTGAACTCAAGTGGCAGTTGTACTCCCACAGATGTTGAGGAAGCAAGAAGCCATTTTGTTCCTTTCTGCTTCAGGTAAGCCTTGTCTTAGAGGGCACTAGGAATCTGAGTGAGTGTTTAAAATTAGCTGCTGAGTGTTTGCTTTGTTTGAGAGGCGGGGCAAGGCTCATTGTTCTCAGAGTGAATCAGAGTGAGTCGTTGCTGCTTCCTGTTTACCCTATATAAGCTAGGGCCTGAACTCAAGTGGCAGTTGCGCTCCCACAAAAGTTGAGGAAGCAAGAAGCCATTTTGTTCCTTTCTGCTTCAGGTAAGCCTTGTCTTAGAAGGCACTAGGAATCTGAGTGTTTAAAATTAGCTGCTGAGTGTTTGCTTTGTTTGAGAGGCAGGGAGAGGCTCATTGTTCTCCGAGTGAGTCAAAGTGAGTCGTTGCTGCTTCTTGTTTACCCTATATAAGCCAGGGCCTGAACTCAAGTGGCAGTTGTGCTCCCACAGACAAGGAACAATGGCTTCAAACTACAAGAAAGGAGATTCCATCTGAACATGAGGAAGAACTTCCTGACTGTGAGAGCTGTTCAGCAGTAGAACTCTGCCCCGGAGTGTGGCGGAGCCTCGTTCTTTGGAAGCTTTTAAACAGGGGCTGGATGGCCATCTGTCAGGGGTGATTTGAATGCAATATTCCTGCTTCTTAGCAGGGGGTTGGATTGGATGGCCCATGAGGTCTCTTCCAACTCTTTGATTCTATGATTCTTTAAAATACATTACAACTGTACTCTCAGTTTGTTCCTGATACAATGAATAAAAAACTATTATTGTTATCTCAGGTCACAACATATGGCAGCCGGAGTGGAATAGGAAGAATTACAACTATAGGTACTTTAGTTGACGATATAAATCCAACTTTAGATAAATATTCATAGAATCCTAGAGTTGGAAGAGACCTCCTGGGCCATCATCCAGTCCAACCCCATTCTGCCAAGAAGCAGGAATATTGCATTCAAATCACCCCTGACAGATGGCCATCCAGCCTCTGTTTCAAAGCTTCCAAAGAAGGAGCCTCCACCACACTCCGGGGCAGAGAGTTCCACTGCTGAACGGCTCTCACAGTCAAGAAGTTCTTCCTCATGTTCAGATGGAATCTCCTCTCTTGTAGTTTGAAGCCATTGTTCCGCGTCCTAGTCTCCAGGAAGCAGAAAACAAGCTTGCTCCCTCCTCCCTGTGGCTTCCTCTCACATATTTATACATGGCTATCATCTCTCAGCCTTCTTCTTCAGGCTAAACATGCCCAGCTCCTTAAGCCGCTCCTCATAGGGCTTGTTCTCCAGACCCCTGATCTGCTCCCTCCTCCCTGTGGCTTCCTCTCACATATTTATACATGGCTATCATATCTCCTCTCAGCCTTCTCTTCTTCAGGCTAAACATGCCCAGCTCCTTAAGCCGCTCCTCATAGGGCTTGTTCTCCAGACCCATGATCATTTGAGTCGCCCTCCTCTGGACACATTCCAGCTTGTCAATATCTCTCTTCAATTGTGGTGCCCAGAATTGGACACAATATTCCAGGTGTGGTCTAACCAAGGCGGAATAGAGGGGAGCATGACTTCCCTAGATCTAGACACTATGCTCCTATTGATGCAGGCCAAAATCCCATTGGCTTTTTTTGCCGCCACATCACATTGTTGGCTCATGTTTAACTTGTTGTCCACGAGGACTCCAAGATCTTTTCCACACATACTGCTCTCGAGCCAGGCCTCGTCGTCCCCCATTCTGTCTCTTTGCGTTTCGTTTTTTTCTGCCTAAGTGGAGTCTCTTGCATTTGTCCCCGTTGAACTTCGTTTTGTTAGTTTGGGACATTTGGGAGACATGCCTGAAAAGTCCCACCCGCTGCTCCTTGCACACTCTTTCTACCCTGACCCTAAAGAAGTTCCAAGAGAAGCTCATGCAGGAGCTCATTCTGGTCTGCAGCAGCAATAAGGAACCGTGCAAGACCTTTGGGGACTCAAAAGACCCATCAATCGCTGGGCATTTACTATTTCCCAGGGACTGATAAGGCTGGAGCCGGCCTCCCCTTCTCTACCACCCGTTCAGCCAAAGGGCTCCTGGGCATGCGTGTGCCACCGCTTGCTCGCTTCCTTCCTTCCTCGCTTCTCCTCTGGGCAGCCCAGGATATGAGGCTCGTTGCCTCCTTCGGGTTCATCTTGTGATGGACACTTGGGGAAAGTCTCCGTGACATCCACCACTTGCTTGTGGCCATAGGGCCCCGTCTGTCAGGCGGAGCAGCAGCTGCCCAGGAAACGGGAGGCTCCCGGCCAAGGTCACGGTTGCTGCCCACCCACCCGTCTTCCTTCCTTCCTTCCCTCCTTCCTTCCTTCCTTCCTTCCTTCTGCTCAGAAAAGCCCGTCTGGACTGACCGCCCTGCGCAGGAGGGACCTGGGAAGGAAGAAGGTGGTGGTCAGGCTCTGTCAAACTGCAGAGCACCTCTGACCTCAGACATCACACCAACTTGGTACAATCAGCAAGCAGTCTATTGAGGATTATATGGAAGCCAAGTCGGAAAAATAGCAAAACCAGTAAACATCTATTTATTAGGCTTGGTTGATCAAGAAAAAATTTGGTTCTAAACTCGTTTCGTTTCTAGGGTGCGCTAGCGTTTCGAAATTCTGAGGACTTCCGAAATTTAAGATTTCAAAATTTCGAAATTTCTGAAATTTCGTAAATTACGAATCGATTCGTTAATGGCGGACGCGATTGCACAATATGCTAAAAAAAACCTCCAAATGGGACAGGGGGAACTTCTGAAGCTTCCCTCTCCCTCTGTTGTTGACTGTTGGTGTGATAAAACAAACAACAACTATATTATATTATATTATATTATATTATATTATATTATATTGTTGTATATTAAATTATAATATTATTATATTATATTATTGTATATTATATTATATTATATTATATTATATTATATTATATTATATTATATTATTATTATTATATTATATTATATATTATTATAATAATATAATATATATAATATAATATAATAATTTATTATATTATATTATATATATTATATTATTATAATAATATATAATATAATATATAATATATATAATATAATATAATAATTTATTATATATTATATTATATATATTATTATATTATTTATTATAATATACAATTATAATATAATATAATAATAATATAGTAATATAATATATAATATAATATATATAATATAATATACAATACAATGCACCAGACATACGAAAATAATTACGAAATAATTACGAAAATTAAATACGAAAATTGGAAAAAATGTTTCGATTCTTAATTACTCCTCACACTATTCCTGCATGGCTCAATATTGGATCGTAAGCTAATTTAAATACGAATTAATAACGAATTATGAAATTAACGAACGAAACCGCCCAAAATCTATCTATATAAAAATGCTCTGTGCGTAATGAGTACCCTAAAAACAAAAGAACCAATGAACGAAATCACACCAAATTTGGCAACAAAACGTCTCACTACACAAGGAGTGACCATCACTCAAAAATTATGATTTTGTCATTTGGGAGTTGTAGTTGCTGGGAAAAGCCCTAAATAAATAATCTATATATATAAAAATGCTCTGCATAATCATAATGAGTTCCTTAAAAACAAAAGAACCAATGAACAAAATCACACCAAATTTGGCAACAAAACGTCTCACAACACAAGGAGTGACCATCACTCAAAAATTATGATTTTGTCATTTGGAGTTGTAGTTGCTGGGATTTATAGTTCACCTACAATCAAAGAGCATTCTGAACTCCATCAACGATGGAATTGAACCAAACTTGGCACACAGAACTCCCATGACCAACAGGAAATATTGGAAGGGTTTGGTGGGCAGTGTCCTTTGGATTTGGAGTTGTAGTTCACCTACATCCAGAGATCACTGTGGACTCAAACAATGATGGATCTGGACCAAACTCAACACAAATACTCAATATGCCAAATATGAACACCGGTGGAGTTTGGGGAAACTAGACTTTGACATTTGGGAGTTGTAGTTGCTGGGATTTATAGTTCACCTACAATCAAAGAGCATTCTGAACTCCACCAATGATGGAATTGAAAAAAACTTGGCACACAGAACTCCCATGACCAACAGAAAATACTAGGAAGGATTTAGTGGACACTGACCTTGAGTTTTGGAGTTGTAGTTCACCTACATCCAGAGAGTGCTATGAATTCATGCAATGATGGATCTGGACCAAACTTGGCACCAATAGTCGATATGCCAAATTGTGAACACTGGTGGAGTCTGGGGAAAATAGAACTTGACATTTGGGAGTTGTAGTTGCTGGGATTTATAGTTCACCTACAATCAAAGAGCACTCTGAACCCCACCAACGATGGAATTGAACCAAACTTGGCACACAGAACTCCCATGACCAACAGAAAACACTGGAAGGGTTTGGTGGGCATTGACCTTGAGTTTGGGAGTTATAGTTCACCTATATCCAGAGGAGTGCTATGAATTCATGCAATGATGGATCTGGACCAAACTTGGCACCAATACTCGATATGCCCAAATGTGAACACTGGTGGAGTCTGGGGAAAATAGAACTTGACATTTGGGAGTTGTAGTTGCTGGGATTTATAGTTCACCTACAATCAAAGAGCATTCTGAACTCCACCAATGATGGAATTGAACCAAACTTGGCACACAGAACTCCCATGACCAACAGAAATATTGGAAGGGTTTGGTGGGCATTGACCTTGAGTTTGGGAGTTGTAGTTCACCTACATCCAGAGAGCACTGTGGACTCAAACAATGATGGATCTGGACCAAACTTGGCACAAGCACTCAATATGCCCAAATATGAACACAGGTGGAGTTTGGGGGAAATAGACCTTGACATTTGGGAGCTGTAGTTGTTGGGATGTATAGTTCACCTACAATCAAAGAGCATTCTGTACTCAACCAACAATAGAATTGGGGCAAACTTCCCACCCAGAACCCCCATGACCAACAGAAAATACTTAAGGCCATCCAATCCAACTCACTTCATCAGGGCAAGAAAACATAATTAAAGTCCTCCTGACAAAGAGCCATCCAGCCATAGATATAGATATAGATATAGATGATATAGATATAGATATAGACATAGATTAGATAGATAGATAGATAGATAGATAGATAGATAGATAGTTGTAGTTGCCGGGATGTATAGTTTACCTACAATCAAATAGCATGATATAATTGAACCAACCGGGGCATACAGGACTCCCATGACCAATAGAAAACACTAGAAGGGTTTGGTGAGCATTGACCTTGAGTTTGGGAGTTGTAGTTCACCTACATCCAGAGAGCACTGGACTCAAACAATGATGGATCTGGACCAAACTTGGCACGAATATTCCATATGACCAAATATGAACACAGATGGAGTTTGGGGGAAATAGACCTTGACATTTGGGAGTTGTAGTTACTGGGATTTATAGTTCACCTACAATCAAAGAGCATTCTGAACCCCACCAACGACAGAACTGGGGCAAACTTCCCACACAGAACCCCCATGATCAACAGAAAATACTGTGTTTTCTGGTGGTCTTTGGTGACCCTTCTAACACCCCCATGGTGACCCCCCCACAGAACCTCCATGACCAACAGAAAATACTTAATGCCATCCAGTCCAACTCCCTTCACCAGGGCAAGAAAACATAATCAAAGCCCTCCTGACAAAGGGTCATCCAGCCATTCACACACACACATATATGTATATGACAGATGCAGTATCAAAGATTTGAAAGGGACCCTTAAAGAAGGACAATGATATGTTGCATGTTCCAGAGTAGGCAAACCAGACACTCTCCACATCAACACTGACAAAGAAACAGCAAGAAATACTGTTGACCCACAAGCAGAAAGACATTACATATATTAGAAACCAACACTTTCTCATTACTTTATTTTCCAGATCAACAGACTGGGCCACAGCAACACCTGGCAGGGGACAGCTAGTATATATATATAAATGTAAATGTCCGTTTGTGAGTGACCTCAAATCTTCCAAAATACTTCACCGATAGCTTCGAAATTTGATCACAACGTAGCATTTGAACAGGTGAATGTTTTTATGTATTCACATACCTACTATTATATAGATGTCACACCTGTGACAGGTAAAAACATGCTTGGCATCAAAAACAGCACCATCTGCTGGACGACCAAGCAACATATCATGAAACAACCCGGTCAGGGCCGGAGCCACCATTAAGGATCTGTGGCCTGGTCATCCCCCACCGAACCTCCCTCCAGAGCAGAACCAGGACAAGAAGAGCGGGAAAAGGCGGCAGGGCAGGGAGGGAAATCCAGGCCAGGGAGATGTTGGCCTCAGGCATCAAGAGGAGCCTAGTGTCTAGATTGAGGGAAGTCCTGCTCCCCAGGCCCTATTCCGCTTTGGTTAGACCACACCTGGAATCACATTGTGTCCAATTCTGGGCACCACAATTCAAGAGAGATATTGACAAGCTGGAATGTGTCCAGAGGAGGGCGACTCAAATGATCAAGGGTCTGGAGAACAAGCCCTATGAGGAGCGGCTTAAGGAGCTGGGCATGTTTAGCCTGAAAAAGAGAAGGCTGAGAGGAGATATGATGAGAGCCATGTGTAAATATGTGAGAGGAAGCCACAGGGAGGAGGAGGGAGCAAGCTTCCTTTCTGCTTCCCTGGAGACTAGGACGCAATGGAACAATGGCTTCAAACTACAAGAAAGGAGATTCCATCTGAACCTGAGGAAGAACTTCCTGACTGTGAGAGCCGTTCAGCAGTGGAACTCTCTGCCCCGGAGTGTGGTGGAGGCTCCTTCTTTGGAGGCTTTTAAACAGAGGCTGGATGGCCATCTGTCAGGGGTGCTTTGAATGCAATATTCCTGCTTCTTGGCAGAATGGGGTTGGACTGGATGATGGCCCAGGAGGTCTCTTTCAACTCTTGGATTCTAGAATTCTATGATTCTATAACTTCCTGACTGTGAGAGCTGTTCAGCAGTGGAACTCTCTGCCCCGGAGAGTGGTGGAGGCTCCTTCTTTGCAAGCTTTTGAACAGAGGCTGGATGGCCATCTGTCAGGGGTGCTTTGAATGCAACATTCCTGCTTCTTGGCAGAATGGGGTTGGACTGGATGATGGCCCAGGAGGTCTCTTCCCACTCTTGGATTCTAGGATTCTATGATTCTATAACTTCCTGACTGTGAGAGCTGTTCAGCAGTGGAACTCTCTGCTCCAGAGTGTGGTGGAGGCTCCTTCTTTGGAGGCTGGATGGCCATCTGTCAGGGGTGCTTTGAATGCAACATTCCTGCTTCTTGGCAGAATGGGGTTGGACTGGATGATGGCCCAGGAGGTCTCTTACAACTCTTTTTAGACCAGTATCATTGTTATTATTATCATTATTACATACTCCTGTATTATTATATAGATCATATAAGACAGTATTATTATTTATACCGTTATTGTTGTTGTTGTTGTTTTTGTTGTTATTCTTTCAACGACAATGGAACGACAAAAATATCATATACCCACAAGCATTATGACATCACATATTAGAAACCAGCTCTTTCTCTTTCTCTTTCATTCCGGAGCAATGCGTGGCTGGGAATAGTTAAGGTGCATGTGTGTGTATACAATACACATATACACACACATAAATACATCCTAGCTGTTCCTCTTGGGAAAGAAAAGCTGCCTCATATTTCAGATCAATATGCACAATACGCCACCACGTCTCACCTCCTCGTGTTTCAACTTTCCAAGCGCTGTCGAGAGATCGGAGCTTTTCCCAAGGAGGCTGCCGTTCTCCTGCCAACGAGGAAACATTTGGAAAGGTTAGAAATAATTAAAATGTTTGATGCTCAAAGACCCATGACATACGCTACTCTTTACTGCACCATCGAATCTAATGCACAACTCTGTTTTCAAAACTCTGAAACCAAAAAAAAACCATATTTGCTGCTGACTGTCATGCGCAGCGGAAAAAGGTGCGTTCTTGGAAATCTGGCCACTCCAGTTGCTGCCTCCTTAGGATTATGCTGCAGAATAATTCCACTTTAATTGCCTTGGTTATTGTGTGTGTGTGTCAGGAGGGACTTGAGAAACTGCAAGTCTCTTCTGGTGTGAGAGAATTGGCCGTCTGCAAGGACATTGCCCAGGGGACACTGGGATATTTTTGATGTTTTACCATCCTGTGGGAGGCTTCTCTCATGTCCCCGCATGGGAAGCGGGAGCTGACATAGGGAGCTCATTCGCACTCTCCCCGGTTACTAACCTGCGACCTGTCGGTCTTCAGTCCTTGTGTCAGCAGGACTGCTGACCAAAACGTCAGTGGTCTGAATCCAGGGAGAGCAGGGTGAGCTCCCGTCTGTCAGCTCCAGCTCCCCATGAGGGGACATGAGATGGTAAAACATCAATCCTAGAATCCAAGAGTTGGAAGAGACCTGGTGGGCCATCCAGTCCAACCCCATTCTGCCAAAAAGCAGGAATATTGCATTCAGATCACCCCTGACAGATGGCCACCCAGCCTATGCTTAATAATAATAATAATAATAATAATAATAATAATAGAATCAAAGTGTTGGAAGAGACCTCCTGGGCCATCATCCAGTCCAACCCCATTCTGCCAAGAAGCAGGAATATTGCATTCAGATCACCCCTGACAGATGGCCATCCAGCCTCTGTTTCAAAGCTTCCAAAGAAGGAGCCTCCACCACACTCCGGGGCAGAGAGTTCCACTGCTAAACCAACGGCAGTCCAATGGCACATAGACTTCCTTATTTATTTATTTACTTACTTACTTACTTACTACATTTGTATACCGCCCCTCTCAGCCCAAAGGCGACTCGAGGCGGTTCACAGTTGGCAATCAATGCCCCACAAAATAAAATACAGTCAAAACAGCCGCCCCCTCCTCTTTTTCTGCTGACTTTTATACTCAAGTAATAGGTCATGGAAAGTACTCTCTTTCCAGCCCCTCTCCCTTGACCTTTTGATGGAAAGTACCTTCTTGTACCTGCAGACTCTGCGCTTAACCACAACCTTTGAACTTAACCACAACACAACTTCCGACCTCTACATGTCACATCTTGTTTCTTAAAAACATTTTCTTCCCTGTTGCTCCTTTTCTACAGAGAAAAGGTATATTTCTCTTTTGCTGTTAATTTCATTCAAAGCCCCTTGCTTAGCATTTGCAAATTTCACTCAAAAGACCCTTTCAAAACCAGTCCGAATATTTGAACATCAAAACAGAATATTTATTTCTCAAAGTCCTTGCAGACTTGGCACAGCTTGTCAAAGTTACAAACAAAACAGTCAATTGGTGAAACCATAGAGATGATCTTTCTTTCTTTTTCCTTCAGTTACTGAGGTAACTCTTCCCCAAATGGTAGAAAATATCCTGAGATCCTTTCACCCTAACCCTGAGCTGCTATGGTTAGAAAAAACACAGGTTTTTTTCCCTATCTATAGCTCAAGGTTAGCTTTGGAGATGAAGTAATGCTCAATAATAATAGTAATAATAATAATAATAATAACCCTTTATTTATACCCCGCTACTATCTCCCGAAGGACTCGGTGCGGCTTACAAGAGGCCGAGCTCAAATACATCAGTAAAAACAACAACAATACAGACAATAAATAAAATCATAAACAAAGCAGTAAACATGAACAATAACACAATGACGCATTAAAAACGCATTAAAAACCTATGTAATAATTAAAAAATTAAATATGCTGGGCATGACAAGGTGACATATAACTAGGATAGGTATTTGGAGAGAGATGGAGTGAGCAGACAATCCTAGATCATTAGTAAAGTGCAATTAGGGAGAGTTTTCCTATTCTGGGAAGGCACACTGGAACAACCATGTTTTCAGGCTCCTCCTAAGGACTGCCAGAGTTGGGGCATGCCTAATGTCCTTGGGGAGTGAGTTCCAGAGTCGAGGGGCCACCACCGAGAACGCCCTGTCCCTCGTCCCCGCCAATCACGCTTGCGATGGAGTCCCTTGGGGAAATGGTACAAATAAAGTGTTGTTGTTGTTGTTGTTATTATTATTATTATTATGGCCTCATGTAAGCCGCACGGAGTCCCTTGGGGAGATGGTAGCAGGGTATAAATAAATTGTTGTTGTTGTTGTTGTTATTGGCCTCATGTAAGCCGCACCGAGTCCTTTGGGGAGATGGTAGCGGGGTACAAATAAAGTGTTGTTGTTGTTGTTATTATTATTATTATTATTATTATTATTGGCCTCATGTAAGCCGCACCGAGTCCTTTGGGGAGATGGTAGCGGGGTACAAATAAAGTGTTGTTGTTGTTATTATTATTATTATTATTATTATTATTATTATTATTATGTTTGTTTTCTTTAGAGGGTTTAAATCACAATGATGTTCACACTGAGGCTGTTATAAAGTGTTAACAATAATATTGTATTTTATTTTGATTATTATTGGCCTCATGTAAGCCGCACCGAGTCCCTTGGGGAGATGGTATTGGGGTATAAATAAAGTATTATTATTATTATTATTATTATTATTATTATTATTATTATTAGTGGCCTCATGTAAGCCGCACCGAGTCCCTTGGGGAGATGGTATCGGGGTACAAATAAAGTATTATTATTATTATTATTATTATTATTATTATTATTATTGGCCTCATGTAAGCCGCACCGAGTCCCTTGGGGAGATGGTATCGGGGTACAAATAAAGTATATTATTATTATTATTATTGATGTATTGGCCTCATGTAAGCCGCACTGAGTCCCTTGGGGAGATGGTAGCGGGTACAAATAAAGTTTTTATTATTATTATTATTATTATTATTATATTGTTATTATTATTATATTATTATTATTATTATTATTGGCCTCATGTAAGCCGCACCGAGTCCCTTGGGGAGATGGTAGCGGGGTACAAATAAAGTGTTATTATTATTATTATTATTATTATTATTATGGCCTCATGTAAGCCGCACCGAGTCCCTTGGGGAGATGGTAGCGGGGTACAAATAAAGTTTCATTATTTATTATTATTATCTCCAAAGCTAACCTTGTGCTTAGATAGGGGAAGACCTGTTCTTTCTAACCATAGCAGATCAGGGTTAGGGTGAAAGATCCCAGGATTTTTTCTACCTTTTGGAGAAAAGTTACCTCAGTAATTGAAGGAAAAGGGAATGGGCTCGGCCTCATGTAAGCCGCACCGAGTCCCTTGGGGAGATGGGAGCGGGGTACAAATAAAGTTATTATTAATATTATTATCATCATCATCATCATCGGGATGTTATGTAGTTTCTGGCCAGTATAGCCAATGTATTCTAGCCTTTTCTTCTGACATTTCACCTGCATTTCATAGAATCATAGTTAGGGTGAAAGATCCCAGGATTTTTTCTACCTTTTGGAGAAAAGTTACCTCAGTAATTGAAGGAAAAGGGAATGGGCTCGGCTTCATGTAAGCTGCACCGAATCCCTTGGGGAGATGGTAGCGGGGTACAATTAAAGTTTAATAATAATAATAATAATAATAACAATAATAATAATAATAACATCAGTTTTCGCACAGCTTGTTTAACCACCCCCTTTACCACTTGGCCAATCCCCCTCTAGCTTCCTTGACTTCCTTCCTGACTAGTCCTGACTTACCCTTGTGGCTTCGTAGGAAGGACTGGGCGGTCCGCTTGCTCCCCAAGAGACAGTGCCGCCTCGCTCCTCCATGCCTGGCAACAGAAACAAGAAAGGCAATGCCTTCAGAACAAAATTCAAGGATTGGGGGAAAGGGCAAAGGATAGCATCACGGCGGAGAAGGCAGGGGATCGCCATTCTCTCTCCAAGGAATCCCGAGTCTCTCTCCAGATCCTTCAGGAGCAACGTCTACAAGAGAAAGCATCCCTACCTAGCCAGAAAGTGTGAACGCCAGCCCACATCCATATCGCCTTAGAGAATGGGATCCTCTTCTCTAATGTCAATCACATTCCCTTGGGATTTAGCAAGACATTGCACCAAAGCTGATGCTCCTGGAAGTATGGTCGAAGGTTTGCATGACTGGAATCACTGAGCTGCTGGACCAAGGTAGTGACATCTCCAGCTCATCCCCTGTTTGGGTATCAGCCAGCACGTCAACGACTTAAATCAAGAAATAGTTTCCTAAGATCTACAGAGACAGTCACTGGAACACCTCAGCAAGCGAAAGTCCAAAAGTGGCAGGGGGTTGCAGCCAATAGTGAAAGGACCAAGGCAGAGACATCTCCAGCTCATCCCCTGTTTGGGTATCAGCCAGCACGTCAACGACTTAAATCAAGAAATAGTTTCCTAAGATCGACAGAGACACTCGCTCGAACACCTCAGCAAGCAAGAGTCCAAAAGTGGCAGGGGGTAGCAGCCAATAGTGAAAGGACCAAGGCAGAGACATCTCCAGTTCATCCTCTGTTTGGGTATCAGCCAGCACATCAACAACTTAAATCACGAAATAGTTTTCTAAGATCGACAGAGACATTCGCTGGAACACCTCAGCAAGCGAGAGTCCAAAAGTGGCAGGCTGAAACCCAGAACCTCAATCAATGGCTGATACCAAATGAGAGACTCACCTTGAGAACAGACAAGCATTCCGAGCTCTGAGGATCACCTGGGAAGGAATCCCACTGGAGCATTGCAGCGCACCCAAATACCTGGGAGTCACTCTGGACCGTGCTCTGACCTACAAGAAGCACTGCCTGAACATCAAACAAAAAGTGGGTGCTAGAAACAATATCATACGAAAGCTGACTGGCACAACCTGGGGATCACAACCAGACACAGTGAAGACATCTGCCCTTGCGCTATGCTACTCTGCTGCTGAGTACGCATGCCCAGTGTGGAACACATCTCACCACACTAAAACAGTGGATGTGGCTCTTAATGAGACATGCCGCATTATCACGGGGTGTCTGCGCCCTACACCACTGGAGAAATGACACTGCTTAGCCGGTATTGCACCACCTGACATCTGCCGGGAAGGAGCAGCCAATAGTGAAAGGACCAAGGCAGAGACATCTCCAGCTCATCCCCTGTTTGGGTATCAGCCAGCACGTCAACGACTTAAATCTAGAAATAGTTTTCTAAGATCTACAGAGACACTCGCTGGAACACCTCAGCAAGCGAGAGTCCAAAAGTGGCAGGCTCAAACCCAGAACCTCAACCAATGGCTGATACCAAATGAGAGACTCCCCCCTGGGCACACAGAAGACTGGGCGACCTGGAAGGCGCTGAACAGACTGCGCTCTGGCACCACGAGATGCAGAGCCAACCTCAAGAAATGGGGCCACAAAGTGGAATCCACGACATGCGAGTGCGGAGAAGAGCAAACCACTGACCACCTGCTGCAATGCACCCTGAGCCCTGCCACATGATGCACCAGGGAGGACCTCCTTGCGGCAACACCAGAGGCACTCCAAGGGGACAGAGACTGGTCAAAGGACATTTAATCAGCTACCAAACTCACACATTTTGTATTTTCTCTGTTTGTTTGCTTTGACCCCTTAATACAATTCATCAAGTTGTGGTGACCACCAACCAGAACATTATTTTCGTTACTACTCCACAACTGTAATTATGCGACTGTTATCAATTGCAAAGAAAATAATATCTGATATGCAAGATGGATTCTCATTCATTGGACCAAATTTGGCACAAATGCCAATACGCCCAAATTTTATACTAGTGGGTTCAGAGGGGGATTGATTTTGTCATTTGGGAGTTGTAGTTGCTGGGATTTATAGTCCACCTACAATCAAAGAGCATTCTGACCTTCACCAACAATGGAAGGCACACAAAACTCCCACGACCAACAGAAAATACTGGAAGGGTTTGGTGGGCATTGACCTTGAGTTTGGGAGTTGTAGTTCGCCTACATCCAGAGAGCACTGTGGACTCAAACAAGGATGGATCTGGACCAAACTTGGCACAAATACACAATATGCCCAAATGTGAGCACCGGTGGAGTTTGGGGAAAATAGACCTTGACATTTGGGAGTTGTAGTTGCTGGGATTTATAGTTCACCTACAATCAAAGAGCATTCTGAACCCCACCAATGAAAAAACAAAAGAACCAATGAACGAAATCACACCAAATTTGGCAACAAAACATCTCACTACACAAGGAGTGACCATCACTCAAAAAATTATGATTTTGTCATTTGGGAGTTGTAGTTGCTGGGATTTATAGTTCACCTACAATCAAAGAGCATTCTGAACTCCACCAACGATGGAATTGAACCAATTTGGCACACAGAACTCCCATGACCAACAGAAAACACTAGAAGGGTTTGGTGGGCATTGACCTTGAGTTTGGGAGTTGTAGTTCACCTACATCCAGAGACTACCATGGACTCAAACAATGATGGATCTGGACCAAACTTGGCACGAATATTCCATATGCCCAAATATGAACACAGATGGAGTTTGGGGGAAATAGACCTTGACATTTGGGAGTTGTAGTTACTGGGATTTATAGTTCACCTACAATCAAGGAACATTCTGATGTTGCATGTTCCAGAGTAGACAAACCAGACAATCTCCACATCAACACTGACAAAGAAACAGCAAGAAATACTGTTTAGCCACAAGAAGAAGCCTGTGCTGTCATGCACTGGGCCTATAGCAATTGGCTTTTGAACAGGACATGCTCTTTGTGCCCAGCGGGAAGCCGGGGTGCCTCAGCTGAGAGGCTGTAAGGATTTTCCTATACAAAAGTCTTTAGAAGCTTGAAAAGTTTGGCCCTATAATTGCAAACCAAAGGAAGCCACCTTATTGCAAAATGCATGGAACTTTGGAATACATGCAAACACTCAAAGAAAGAAAAGGAAGTTGGAGCTCCTGGTACAGCCGGACCATCGCAATTACATATATTAGAAACCAACACTTTCTCATTACTTTATTTTCCAGATCAACAGACTGGGCCACAGCAACGCCTGGCAGGGGACTGCTAGTCAGATATAGATATGCGAGAGACAAGACAAGAGGACAACTCTAATAGAAGACAAAACCAGTACCAACAGTGCTATCCGGGGTAAAATCAGTAATTCAAGGTACGAACACTCCCTGTCTCACTTTTCAATTCCCCACACACGCGCCCCCCTTTTTTAAAACATACACTCCCCCCATGACAGATGGCCATCCAGCCTCATAGAATCCTAGAGTGGGGAGAGACCTCCTGGGCCATCATCCAGTCCAACCCCATTCTGCCAAGAAGCAGGAATATTGCATTCAAATCACCCTGACAGATGGCCATCCAGCCTCTGTTTAAAAGCTTCCAAAGAAGGAGCCTCCACCACACTCCGGGGCAGAGAGTTCCACTGCTGAAAGGCTCTCACAGTCAGGAAGTTCTTCCTCATGTTCAGATGGAATCTCCTCTCTTGTAGTTTGAAGCCATTGTTCCGCGTCCTAGTCTCCAGGGAAGCAGAAAACAAGCTTGCTCCCTCCTCCCTGTGGCTTCCTCTCACATATTTGTACATGGCTATCATATCTCCTCTCAGCCTTCTCTTCTTCAGGCTAAACATGCCCAGCTCCTTAAGCCGCTCCTCATAGGGCTTGTTCTCCAGACCCTTGATCATTTTAGTCGCCCTCCTCTGGACACATTCCAGCTTGTCAATATCTCTCTTGAATTGTGGTGCCCAGAATTGGACACAATATCCCAGGTAAAGTGGTCTAACCAAAGCGGAATAGAGCATGGGGAGCATGACTTCCCTAGATCTAGACACTAGGCTCCTCTTGATGCAGGACAAAATCCCATTGGCTTTTTTTGCCGCCACATCACATTCCTGGCTCATGTTCCCCTTCCTCCCCACAAGGACTCCAAGATCTTTTCACATGTCCTGCTCTCGAGCCAGGCCTCATCGTCCCCCATTCTGTCTCTTTGCATTTTGTTTTTCCTGCCTAAGTGGAGTCTCTTGCATTTGTCCCTGTTGAACTTCATTTTGTTAGTTTTGGCCATTCATGTCTCTAATCTGTCAAGGACTCCACACGTCCTGCTCTCGAGCCAGGCCTCCTCGTCCCCCATTCTGTCTCTTTGCATTTCGTTTTTCCTGCCTAAGTGGAGTCTCTTGCATTTGTCCCTGCTGAACTTCATTTTGTGTTACTTTTGGCCCATCATCTCTCTAATCTATCAAGGACTCCAAGGTCTTTTCCACACGTCCTGCTCTCGAGCCAGGCCTCATCGTCCCCCATTCTGTCTCTTTGCATTTCGTTTTTCCTGCCTAAGTGGAGTCTCTTGCATTTGTCCCTCTTGAACTTCATTTTGTTAGTTTTGGCCATTCATCTCTCTAATCTGTCAAGGACTCCAAGATCTTTTCCCCACGTCCTGCTCTCGAGCCAGGCTTCATCATCCCCCATTCTGTCTCTTTGCATTTTGTTTTTCCTGCCTAAGTGGAGTATCTTGCATTTGTCATTGTTGAACTTCATTTAGTTAGTTTTGGCCCATCATCTCTCTAATCTGTCAAGGACTCCAAGATCTTTTTCAGACATCCTGCTCTCGAGCCAGGCTTCATCATCCCCCATTCTGTCTCTTTGCATTTTGTTTTTCCTGCCTAAGTGGAGTCTCTTGCATTTCCCCCTGTTGAACTTCATTTTACTAGTTTTGGCCCATCATCTCTCTAATCTGTCAAGGACTCCAAGATCATTTTCAGATGTCCTGCTCTCGAGCCAGGCTTCATCATCCCCCATTCTGTCTCTTTGCATTTCGTTT